CCCCCCGGACAAAAAATAAAAATATTAATAATAAACAAAACAATAATATATGTTATTATATTATGTGGTATACAATAAAATTCTTAACTTTTTCACAAACTTATTCTAGTAAGATAGCTCACAGAAATTAAAAAAATTAAAATATTATCATTTGAAAAACTTTCACATAATTGTTTTAACTCTTTCATGCACGGGATTTCATAACTATTTTGACCTATATTGCACAGATTTTTTTTTAGAAAAATTATAATTTATGTGGTATAATAAATTATTATTCAAGTAAATAATAAGACTTTGGTGTTAAAAAAATATTAAAATATTTTTTTAAAGAGTTATCGTTGGTGGGATGACGTATGTCCCACCATGCATTAAGTGTTTGATAAATTGATAAATCATGTATTACTGTTGTAGGGCCCTCTGGACTTGTAAATGGAAATAAATCAATTAAAATGTCATTTTTTTTTTACCAAACTGGTTGAGTTTCCATCTCAGTTTCAACTGTTTCAATATGTAATGGACATATTGAAGTAGATTCAATGTTACACTGATAATCATTATTTACAACTGAAGAAGTACTAGGTAAAGAATGAAAATCAAATGTCAACGACACATTTTTGTTATTCAAAGATACATTTTCTGAACTTGGAAATAATTGTCGGTGTGTAGCCGCCCGGTATCTAACTTCAGTTATTTTTGATACATATTTTTGACGAATTGAACTACGAGTATACTTTTTCTTCTTTATAGGCGAGGGTAACAAATAAATATTTCTATCGTCTAAGTTAAGAATTTCTGAATTTTCATCGTCACTCTTATCATCACTAGATTCTAATATAGGTATCGTTTTCGACTCACCAAAAGGTGGAAAATAATCTTTATCATTATCGGAATCATCACAAGAAGTTATGCTGTTATCATCAGACGGAATTTCTTCAATTAGCATATCAAAAATTTCACCAATGTTTAGGAGAGAACTCATTTTTGAAATTAAAAACACTAAAATATATTTTAGAATAATGGAAATTTAAAAAAATAATAGCTTCTTTATAAAATATATTGAAAAATAAAGTGTTTGGGAAATTGTGTTTACACATGTGTATATTTGTGTATTATTGGTGTATTTGGTGCATATTATTGCATTATGCATAATGCAATAATATGAAATAATAAATAATTAAATATATTAAATATGAATAATATATCATAATTCATAGAATATGATAATTAATATTATTGTTAAATGTAACATTAAATTATGAATTATAAATAAATTGTTATACATACTAAGTATACCTTTGTAATTAAAAATTTAAATTTTCAAAAACTATAATTCAATTTAAAATATGTACTCCAGACTTTTATCTCGTAACAGGCAAACCGCTATTGATAAAGTGATTTAACTTGCACTGAATGAAACTATATAATATAGTCTATCATATGTTATAATATCGTTCATATACATAAACTATATAGTGTAATATAAGCCAAACAAAATTATGAGTGTCTAGTTGTTGTCAAAAAAAAAAAAAACCCCGAAAAATAGCTAATAATAACTCAAAATGCATTAATTTTCGATTTATTTTGATACTAATATACACATTATGGGCTATTAAAACTATTAATATTATTTATAGTAAAATTATAAATACAAGTTATAGGAAAAAAATACTTTACTAGGTGGGTTATTTTTTGTACCACCGTGCTGGAAGTGTGATTTTCGAGGTGGAACAAACGGTATCCCACCGTGCCTGAAAGAGTTAACCTATCGTCTGTTCCTAAATTATCACGAAAGGCTACTGCTCTATAATTTAATAATTTTACTAATGCACTTGAGTTGCTCATCTGTAGAGCTTCAATAAAAAGCCAAATATTAGGATGATTGATTCTCACTAGTGTTGTAAATTTATTATTCCACCCTTCCGAAATATTGTTTGTTCTACCTATACCAGCTTTAGTTAAGTCAAACACATTCCATATAGAAGGCGGAAATAATGGCGGTTTTCTTGTAAGTATGTCTATGTTTTTTTTTATTTCTATTTAATTGGGTAATAAAAGTTATAACTCCATAACGTGAATGATTATATTCGATAGATACTGATATGATGATCGTATAACTGGGGTAAAACCAAAGAACCAACTATTTAACCTATAATTAAAAAAGTAAAAAAAAATATTTTTTTCGGGGGGAACTATCTCAGTGCGGGGGAAACGTCCAGTACCGCTTCATCGGGGGGGGACGTCAAAATACCCATTTATTCATGGGTTCATTGCAGGGTTGACACCAGTGGCGTATACAAGGAGGTGGGGTCAGATCCTTCCTAGGCCTTTTTTTAAATGTTATAAAATAATGTT